GTTTAGTTTGTGAGTTTTGCGCTATTTGAGCTTTGAATCGTTGCCTTGCCAATTAAAAATTGTTCTTTTCAGAACAACAGTTACTGTGAAGTGGTGTAAAGTGCTCATATCATGCTTATTAGAATACTTCGAACGGGAAAGGGATAATAATGGCCCACTTTTGCCTTTAACTGCTGTAAGGGAGGTGAGTTTACGCTTGTTGATAGCATAAGTAATAGGAACATTAAGGTTAATCTTCTTTTTCTTATTTTTAGCGTGTAGCAGCAGCAATGAAATTAAATGTGTCTACTATAAGTGGTATTTCACAGGCAGTCAAAAATAAAGAAGTTTTACAATCGCCTCCTAAAAAACGATGTACTCCAAAGAGAGTCACTAATATTTCAAGGCTCAATACAAGTGGTATTCGTAATACTATTTACAACATGTATGAAAACAGTAAGTTGCCCAACAAACATATTTTGAATTAGAGAATGTATAATTGTTTTTTTTGTAGAACAACATGTAACACTGTCTGGCTTGTGGGAGCAATTAAAAGCTAAGCAATTATTTGAGGGCAGTCGTATGTCGTTAAGCAGACTATTAGAAGAGATAGGCTTCAAATGGGAGAAAGATAACCCCAAACGAGGGCGTATGCTAGTTTTTTGAGATCATACGTACAAAATAAACAAGAGGCTATTTATCAGTTTGTCTTCTTAGATGAGACTTGGATTTTCCAAAATGGCACCGTTCACCGTTCATGGCAAGATAATGACAAGCGAAATGTTACAAGTACCAAAGTTGATGGAAAAAGGTGGGCTTTCAAATGTATAGAAAAATAAGCTCTATATAAAAATGAAATGCATTTGTAGGTATATGATAGTTCACGCTGGCAATGAAAATGGATTTGTTGAAGGTGCGTCGCTCATATTTTCATCGAAAACCCAGCTTAATGATTACCATGGTGAAATGAACCAGCAAAACTTTTTATATTGGTTTGAAAATCAATTACTAATAAGCTTGACCCAACCCTCTGTGATTGTTATGGATAATGCATCATACCATAGCATGTTATTAGTAAAAACTCCCAATAGCTCATGGAGAAAGGCTGAAATTCAGAATTGGTTAACTGAACAAAAAATACAGTATCCACATGAAGCATTCAAATCTGAACTTCTAACGATTGTTGCACAGTGAGCAGAATACCCAATCTTTATGCATTTTGTTCCTATTTATTTTTTTTTTAGGAATAAACCAACCAAAATGTATGTGGTCGATAACTTGGCAGAACAATATGGACATAAAGTTTTACGGTTACCTCCATACCACTGTATTTTTAACCCAATTGAGCTAATTTGGGGGATTGCAAAAAATTACTATAATCGGCATATTGGAAGAGATTGCCACACTGAAAATGACTGCCTAAAAATGTGGCAAGAGGCACTCCAAACTATTACCCCTGATATGTGGAAGAACTCCATTAGACATACAGAGGAGATAATTATGAAATGGTATAGAAGGGAACAAGTAATGGATAGACAGGAAATTCTTCCCCTTATTATCCATGTTAACGATGACTCTACTCATTCCAGTGATTCAGAATAGTTAAAACATCAAAATATATTCTGTATAATGTAATCAAACTCCGGAATTGATATACAACTGAACCATACCATGCGGTTAATATCAGGCTCGATAAAGAGTACTCCTTGCCGCTAGTTGCCGGTATTGTGTAACATCGCATCACCCGAGTTCTTTCTTCTCTTTGATGTGAATTGAAAAAGTGTTGTAGTTCCCATATCATAAATAAATAATCAAATTAATTAAAATACGAGAAAACAATTTATGTTCTTTAAATATTTTGTGTTTTTGAATATCTACCAAATCAGGTGTTTTTATTCAGAAAGGAATTTAATTTTACAACAAGTTTATTTATTTTTAATATAATGGTATTATAGTAAATTAATGGTAGGTATATATAAACAATTTATTTTATTAAATTTATTTGCTTAAAAGAAAATGTGCAAATTCTGGCAACAGCGCACAGCTCCAGATCGATGACGTGCATCGGGTTTTATTTGGTATCCACTATATTAGGAGTGGATATAGGTTAGTACATACATACTTACGTAGATAAGAAAATAGCTCTCAGAGGCTTAATATAAGAAGGAAATGTCGTCAAGTAGACTGACTCAGTACTTCTCATAAATTCTCATATAAATAAAGCTTTTTCTGAAGGTGCACAACAATATAGTTATGGTTTTTGATGACTTCTAATGCATCGTGTCATCATTCAAATATTTAAATGAGTATAATGCTATAAAACTCCGACAAATCTTTTTTATTATGCCCAAAAGTAGCAGAAACTAGAGAAAACGTAGTTTGCATATACACTAGTTCTTGTGGCACCTCATAATGCTCCCCAAATTTCATTGAAATCGATGCATTTCTGCAATTACGTGGTTATAAGAACACCGACAGACAGACACAGACTGACAAACTGATGGAGTTGAGCGACAAGGATTTGTGTGATGCAGATATCTTCGACTAATAAAAACTTGTTCAATGAAGTTTTGTCAGCGTGACTACTATGGTAAGGACGAAAGAGTACGTATTAGTTGTTTTTGAAAATTGATTCAGTGTTGTTGAAGCTACGGACAAAAAAATTTAAAAATACTGAAACATCGTGCTTCAACGTTTCAGATCTTGCTGCTCATTTTCAGAAACTTTTTGGAAGGATTGAAAATTTTTGGACGAAAGCGGAGCGGTAAATGGTTGTAAATTGTTGCATCTCTGGTATTAGTGATGCATCTTGTTTACTGATCCTGGTTATATTACGCACCTGTTAGGCAATATGATAAATTTTTCTTTATACAGTTTATTATTAAATAAGGATTTAAGATATATCAGACGTAAGTGAACATATCTAGTCAAGGCTTCGTCTATACTTTGGAATAAGCAACTTTTAAATGAAGGCGTGGAAAGTATATAGTCAATGTACTTGACGCTGTTATTTGTTTGAGACATTCTGCATATACCGAGATAGTGAGTGTGATATAGCTCCGTTATATAATAATATCTCAGAATGTTATTTAAAATAGAATAACTGAAAAAAAGTATAGGTAAATATACGCACCTCTGCCGATGTTACTAAGTCGGGTCAAAAAAGCGCCGGAGTCACGAAATCAGGCAAAAAGAATTGAATTTTTCTCTGTTTTACAAGAAATCGACCAAATTCATTAGATCCATCACTTTAAAGACGACTTCCCATTGGTCCAATTTGTGCCAAAGGTGCAAATTTTTATCCCCGCCAGACAATAGCAATCTTCCCTTAGCGCCCTTTTAAGCACACTTGCACACTCAACAAACGGGTATGCCTGTCTGACTTTTCTGTCGAACATAGTTATGTGAGAAAGTTACAGGACTAAAGAAGTGTACAAGAATTGCCGCTGTCTTGGAAAATATAGCGCCCTCTACTGGGTGATTCAATTGGCAGCACAAACATAGTTCTTTGTAAATATTTTAATATCCTCTGAAATGCCTGGTCAAAGGAAAAAGTTTGATATAGCTTAGACTTAGAAACGCTACTTTTCTGGGGCTACAAGATGTTTCGTTATTCTTTGACAGCTTGGAAGTAAGCCAATTTTGCAGATCGAGTAGCAAGGTTTACGTAAAAATGACCTTTGTTATATATCTCATAGTTTCTAGATGGCCAGTAGTTGGCCTACACACAAACTCGATCAAGCTGTGTAATTCGACGGCAGGCCGGTACAACCATTCTCTTGATCATGTTTAAAAATTCTTCAAAATCCAACTGCATTATCAGCCACGGTACTGAGGTATACAGAAAATTGATTTGGATAATTAAACACTTCATGACGATTGGGCTTGGACACTTAGACAGGTACCGTGCTGTACTTACCATAAGATCGGCCACTAGTTCAGAATTGAATATAGATTATTAAACCACAATGTCACCAGCACACGGGAACAACAGGCGCGACTAAGTGACTGTATTTCTGGTAAGAAAAATATTTGGAAGCATTATCTATTGTTTGCAGATCTATCAGTGGAACCGTATCATATACGACAATGACATTACATGTTTACAATTACATAAAAATTTTATATCATGGGGAGTTTTCAGGCCAATGAGACAGAACGCGAGCTTATACATATACGTTTGTGCGAGACTACAACTAGCCTGAGTTTTTAGGTAACGCTTTTTAGAGAAAAACTGGGATAAAAGACTTCAAAATATAGTAATAATAATAACGAAAATAGTAATAATAAAACGCCTTTATTTGGCCAGGTTTAGCATACGCTATTCTACCTTTTAACCCGTAAAATGTGTATACACAAAACAAACAATAAGAACAATATATACCACTAAAAATGCAGAATTTTCAACATAGAAACAAATATTTTGGTATTCTGGAAGAGCAAAACATGAGTTTAAAATTGCGGAAATATTGTACAGTAAAAACTTGAGAGAACCACTACGCACGATGCTCCAGAGGCTACACTGGTTATTAAAAATCATTTATTGTTGAATACAGATTTAAATATATAATTTAGTTAGAATCAACACTACAAATAAAACATTTGATCAGAAAAATGTTACATTCTTTTACTACATACTACATTGTGATGAAGACTGATTAAGTCTTCTTCACAACAATCACTCCTATAAATATTATTTATGTTTACTATCTCTCGCTAATTAACATGGATAGTGATGCTTTTAAACACAAGTGGTAACACTTTTATTTATTAATGGAAGATAACGTTAGAAAATAAGTCCTACGGGTTTACCAATTGCTAGGATAGGATACACTGGACAACAAATTTTAGTTTTTTAATTGTATCTTGTGGGAAAAGTGCACTTCTTTGTTAATTTTGGGGCGCTGAATCCAAAAATGACAATGAAATAAAAAAATTAGTTGCGGTTAAGAAAAAAAAACTTTTTATTTTTAAGGATATATTAAAAAAAAGTAACAAGATTCATGTACTTATAAGAATCACTATATGCGCTGACTTTTTGCTGTTCTTTTATGGATCGTTTCTGGAGCATCTGTACCAAGAGTCCAACAGTAGTCTGCAAGCATGGAAGGATTCTACTTTCCCTGGTACCTTTTTTCCATTGTTGAAATATCCTGATGAAAACGTTCGCCGTGCTCATTACTTACGGCTTCGCAATTGTCAGGAAAAAAGTCCAGGTGTGAGTGTAGGAAATGTATCTTAAGAGACATATTACAGCCCATCTTTTGATACGATGACAGCATATTTTTGACAAGGGTTTTATAGTTGTCAGCTTTTCTATTTCCCAAGAAATTAGTGACCACCAGACGGAAATCATTCCAAGCAGTTTTTTCAATACCTGTTAAAGTGTTTTCAAACTGTGTATCTTTCAAAATATTTCGAATCTGTGGCCCAACAAAAATACCTTCTTTAACCTTTGCCTCACTTAGTCTTGGAAATTTCTGACGCAGGTATTGAAAAGCTGACCCATCTCAATCTAATGCCTTGACAAAGTTTTTCATTAGGCCCAACTTGATATGCAGTGGTGGTAATAAATTTTTTTTCGAATCTACTAATGGCATATGCTGTACATTTTTTTGACCTGGCTCTAGGAATTGACGAACAGGCCAGTTCTGTTTGGTGTAATGAAGTGCCTTTGCCCAACTGTCCCATTCACACAAAAAACAGCAAAACTTTGTGTAGCCTAGCTGCAGTCCAAGTAAAAGTGCAACAACTTTCAAATCGCCACAAATATGCCATTGGTGCTCATCGTATTTGGTAAAATATTTCCAATATGCAATAACACTGCCTTTAAACTCAATGTTGAACTGTCTATAAACAATCTCCATTCTTCTGGGTTATAGTTTATATTTAAAGCCGCCAGTAAGCCGTTAATGTTACTGCAGAAAACCAAGTTATTCTCGATATTGAAACATGGTTCTAAGTCTTTGTGGCGTTTACGAAAAACACATACCGAAACATCGTCTTCTAACAAGTTCCACTGCTGCAGTCTTGATCCAAGTAACTCTGCCTTACATTTTGGAAGTTCTAAATCTCTTACAAGATCATTTAATTCTGACTGTTTTATTTTGTGCGGTTGGTGGCATGACGTGCTCGGTATAAAATCAGGATCTCTTGACGTTGATGGCATATCTTCTTCCTGACGAATCACTCGATCGCCATGATCTGATTCGTTTTCTGATTCGCAAGTGTAGGATTCTGGGGGTTTTGGAATAGGATTTTCGTCACTGTGAGGCACAGGGCTCATCGCAGATGGTATGTTTGGGTAGTTAATAACCGATTTTTTTTTCTTGGACATACCTGTGGCTTGTCCAACACAAGGTACCATGCAAAAGTAACAATCATTAATATGATTTGTAGGCTCTCTCCAAACGATTGGGACAGCAAAGCGCATAGACCGTTTTTTGCCATTTAACCAGCTCCTCAGACTTGAAGCACATGTATTACAGCGGATATGGGGTGCCCACTGTTTGTCTTGATCACCTAGTTTACAACCTAAATAAAGCTGATATGCCTTTGTTATTAGTGGAGTAATAGACCGTCTCTGAGACGCAAAAGTCACATCACCACACACGTAACAAAACTGATCTGGATTGTTTACACACTTTCGAGACATCTTGCATGAACGCTGTCAGCCAACTGAGGAAAAAATGGCTAATATAAAACAATATAATGTACACGTATGTATAACGTAACACAATCATGCCGATTACATAATCTTTCCTTGCCGAATATAAAAATGTAGCACGTGCATTCTTGTGAATAACAGTATATTAACACTGTCACAGCAGGAATACATATAATTACCGTATCTCTAAAACTTGAACTAATATTGAAAAAATAAGTTTCATTCCGGTTTTAGCACATTAAAAATAGTAATATTTTGTTGATTTTATTTAGGATATTTTTTGGCTGTTGATCAGTGATATCGATTATAAAATGTAAAAAATACATATATCAAGAGATAACTGTGAGGAAGTGAGAAGTTCAAACATCATAACAAACATTATCTTATTTGTTTTTCAACTGACATAAATTTCCTCATAATTTTATACTTCTACTTTCAAAAGTAAAAACGTCTGTCCTATAGACTTTTATTCGATATAAAGTATAATTATAACCACCACCTTTCCTAATTTGACTTATTTGGTGGCATTTTATATACAGCGTGGCCCAGCGAAAAGATCGCACCCCCATTTGTGACGCTCGGACACGTCAATTTTGATTTATAGGGGGACGTCTTTTCATCTATAGCCACAGGATCACAGGGTGATCCAAATAAGATATTGCGTTACACCTTAGATACAAATAATTTTTAGATTTTCCAAGAAGTTTTTAGTAATTATTGTATAATAGAGTTTATACCTATCTTCAGTCTTTGAGAAGCTATTTGAGTTTATAAAAAAATTCGACTAACTTGACACTGACAATAATGGAACGCACTTCAAAAAATAATAAACATGGGTACCAGAAAGAACATTTAGCATCAGTCAGTATCAACGTATATCATAGAAAAACTTTATCTTACATTTCAAATTGTTAAGTTACCTACCTAGTTATGATAAATGAAGAAGAATGACTTATTCAATTCAAGAAAGGGTAGAAATAACAAAACTGTTTTAATAAAATGGCAGCATTGCAAGAGCTGCTGCCCGGCTGTTTGATGCGTTACACCCAGTCAAAAATATTAACGATAAGTATGTGGCTAAGTTGATGAGAACATTATTGCAGAAATTGGATCTATGTCTAATATTAGCCGTAATCGTCATCGAAAAAAATCGACCAGTCAGAAATGAAGACACAGAAGTGTCTAGCAGTTTTAGGGTACGTAGTACTTGACAACACCCAAAGCACTCGTGCACTGGCTACTTCTTCAGGATTTACACGCTCAACAGTACAAACAATTTTGAAAGACAATAAATTTCACCTTTACAAGATAAAACTTGTCCATGAGCTTTCTGAAGACAATTTTGATAGAAGGATGGAGTTTTGCGAATTAATGTCCCAACGTGTTTAATCAACAATGTAAATCTGTTATTTAATATTTGTTTCTTGGATGAGTGTACGTTCTATTTACGTGTTGCTGTAAATAGGCATAATTATCGATGTTGGAGTGACTCAAATCCACATTTGTTTCGAGAGGTACACTCCTGAAAAAAATAAATGTGTGGGCTGGCATTTTCGGAAATCATATTGTAGGACCTTTCTTTATTCCTGGAATCTTGACGGGCGAGACGTACTTGAACACGTTAGAAAATAGAATAGAGCTACGAATTACCAAAATAATTCATTTCAAACATGATGGTGCACCGCCGCACTATCTGGCTCCAGTCCGATAGTTTTTGGATACCTATTTCCCGAATCAGTGGATCGGTAAACGAGGCTCCATCGAATGGCCGCCGAGATCTCCGGACCTTAGTCCTTTAGATTACCTTCTTTGGGGACGTTTGAAAAGTGAAGTTTTCAGTACGAAGTCAGATTCCATTTAAGATCTTCATAAGCGGATTACGGCTAAATGTAGACAAATATCTCAAAACATGCTTGAAGAAGTGAGGAATAGATTCGAACAAAATCTTTATTATTGCATTGAGTTAAAAAGATAACACCTTCAGCATGTATTCGCACAATGATCTACCTCTTTATAGCAAATTAATTTTTGCCTTAACTTTAATATGCGTGTAAACTGTAAATTGTTTCTGTCTCTTTTAATACTCGGAGACTTGTTTTCAATTTTAAAGTAAAGTTTTGTTACTATGGGAACTATATGGATTATTATGTTTACGATATAATCAATTATTCTCAAAACAGCTTCACAACCATTGAAGATAGGCATAAATTTCATTATACTAAAGTTAGTATTATTTTTATTATTATTATTATTTTTGGATCACCCTGTAGTCTACGGCTATAGATGAAAAGACTAGAAGTCAAAATTGACGCGTCCGAGCGTTTTTCCCAAAATATAACCAGGAGAGTCACACATAGGGTGCGACCTTTTCGTTGAGCCAGTATGTTAATCCTGGAGTCTATGTAAGAAGAAATAGTCACCATATGTTAACAGATGCAAACATTCAATCATCTTAGCAAAATTCCCCGAAATAACTGTGAAGTTTGGTTTTATTGATGCAAGTGGTTCAAGGGGGAATTTAAAACATGGACGCATAAAATGGGTACACCAATTTTTGCGGAAAAACTTTTTATTATGAAACAAAGAATGAGAAAACATGTTTTTTGGGATTCAATAGAAAGTGTTGACAGGAACGAGAAAACTCTTCAAATAAGATTTTTAGGTACTTACGAGACCTACAAAATGAGACCATACGTAAAAAGATCCGACTGATAACAGAAAAGTTATGGCCGAAAAGCAAGGCAAAATGCAGGTTCTGGCACTTGTAGGTAATTCGATCATACTTTCACGCTGCTACTTGAAATTCTTTAAATTTATTGGCTCCATACTTCTAAAGTACCACAACAAAATTGGAGTAGATTGGTGAAGTAGTTCTTGAGAATTTCTAATTGTTTATCACAAAACACCGGTCTTCCAGCCATTACTACTAGTTTAATGAACCATATACAGGGGTCGTTCAAATTGCATTTCATAGCATAATACACGAATTTACCTTGCCCATCTGACTCACAAATCATTCCGCAAGATAAACGTTATTTTTATGCAAAACACAGAGGGTTACGTTTTTTTCTTCCAAACAAATCCAAACATTTCGTATTTGTGAGTAATTGAGCAGATGCGCGACGATGTACAAAAAACATACGTTAATCTACACATTTCTATCCTCTTCTGTTGCGAAGAAAAAAAAATTTTTCCAAGATTTCTTCATTCTCTTATGTATACATATTTAGAGACGAAATTTTCACACGGTCACAGATCAGCCTTAAAGTTTATAAAAAAAAAATCATACTAAAATGCACTAAATTGTTTTCAAGGTTAGCACTCAAACTGAAGACACAATTATGATTGAAACTATCGTAGCGTAGTTATTACAGAGTGTAGCATATTTGCTAAATATCTATATTATTCATGGCTGCATGATTCTATCAGATGAGTAGGTCACGAAATTCAGTTCCCTGCACCTTTTTTTTAAGAGTATTAATATAGTATACGTTTTGTTTTCGAAATCTCGTCGATTAAAACGACTGCGAGTTCAAAAAATTATAAACAATCTTTCGTGTACCGCTGGTTTCCTGTTTGAAAGCTTACATTGTCAAAAGCTGTTTGATCATAACAAATGTACACATAATGCGAAAAAGCAGTTATTTCACTAAATTTAAATAAAATTTAGAGAAAAAAGGGAAGCTTTGTAGATTCGAACCTCCGTCCTGCAGATCTGCAACCGTTACTCCTTCCCACTACACTACGACTCCTCTTGGTTTATTGGATCTTTTTACCACTATATTTGACACTGACAAATGTCAAGCAAAAGTTGGGTGCATATCAAATCTGTTATAAACAATTAAAATAATCTCAAAAACTACACAAGATACAATGCTGTAACTTTAAATAATGTATTAGGTACTAATACCGAGCATTTTGCCTAATTTTTTTGACGGTCAGTTCGCTATAACTGGTTGATTATGAACTCCAACCACGAGATTTAGAAAACAAACATATATTATATTAATACTTTTAGAAAAAAAGGCCAGGGTATTATATTTATTCGTAAAGAAACTGACCTACTTATTTGACAAAGTCATGCAGTTGTCAAGAACGTAGCCATTTAATACATGCTGCATACTAACTAGGCTAAGACAGTTTAAAACATAATTGTGCCTTCAGTTTGCGTGCTTTCTGTGTATTTTAGTATGAAATACAGCTCTGAATACTTATACATAAGAGTATGAAGAAATCTTGAAAATCCAATATTTTCTTCGTAACAAAAGGTGATGACACATCCGTTTTGCTTTAAAATGTGTATGATAATATATGTTTTTCGAATATCGTAGCGGATCTATTCAATTACTCACAAATACGAAATGTTTGAATTTGTTTAGAAGAAATAAACGTAACACTTTCTTTTTTGCATAAGAATAACATTTATTTTTCGGAATTATTAATAGTATTTTGCTATTTAATGTCCTTTGAACGAGCACTGTATATTGCTCAAAAAGCTGGTAGTGATGGCCGGAAAACAGGTGTTTTGGGATACACAATTAGAAATTCTTAAAAACCACTTGACCAATCTACTCCAAATTTTGTTGCGGTTATTTAGAAATATGAAGCCTACGGATTTGAAGAATTTCAAGCATCTGCCTAAAGTTATCGTCGCATTACCAACAAGTGCCTAATTATGCATTTTGCCTGGGTTTTGAGCCACAACTTTTTTTGCTATTAGTCGGATCTTCTTACGTCTAATCTCATTTTATAGGTCTCGTAAACACCTAAAAATCTTAATTGCAGAGTTTTTTCGTTTCTGTCAACACTTTCGATTGAATCTCAAAAATCACGTATTCCCATTCTTTGTTGTCGGATAAAAAGTTTTTCACAAAAATTGGTGTACCCATTTTAAGCGTCTATGTTTTAAATACCCCCTGAACACCTTGCATCAATAAAACCAAACTTTACAACTTATTTCGCAACCCAGGTACTTTCATCTAATATGATTGGACATACCAATAATGCGACAAGTGTACAGGGTGTTTCAAATTTGACCCTCACCAATTCTTTCCTAACTTTATTTATAGTGGGATTTCAAAATAACTCACATATTAACATTGCCCCTTTTTCTCATCAACTAGATGGCGGGATTAGAATTTCAATATGACGTTTCGTCTCTTGTCCTGCAGCATCAACTTTATTATATCTTATGGACGCCATATTCGATTTTTGCCCAGGTGAGTAGATTTTTTAATTCAGATTCCAAAAATGTATACGTCATACATTGACAATCCTAAACCTTAGTTATTCCAGAAAGACAGAATTTCCTAGGTAGGGCTAGAAATTATCAGATTGCCATTTGTTTCTCATACCAGATTTATCCCAAAATGGCATTTATTTTTTCCTGACTTTATTTGAGATGGGATTATTACCAGCCAGTTTTTTCCCTCCACAAGATGGCGTTGTTAAATTTTCAACACGAGGTTTCTTCTTTTGACTTCCATCACCAACTTTGGTGTTTATATGGAATTGGAATTTTGTACATTTAAACGGACCTTTCAGTCCTAAATTTAGTATTGAGTATTTCCTTGTTGTTGGTAGAAAATTATAGGGACATAAAAAGTTATGAAACCTGAACACAGCAAGAAGATTTTATTAATTGCAATAACAATTATGTATAATAATAAATAAGCAGAGGTAAATCATAGTAATTGTTCAAAACCTTGTCCGCTGTTTTGTAGGTAAAGCATGGCTCTTCCCTATACATTGTTCACTATTCGGATTATTTCCCTGATTCTCAGTACACCATACTCTGTTGCTATGTTGAATTTGGTCTGGTAAACAAAACAAATGAAATATGATAATTTCAAGGCCTACGTAGGACATTCTGTTTTTCTCCGGTAACTAAGGCGTAGCAATGTGAATGTGAAATATTTATATTTTTGAAATCAGAATCAAAAACTCTATTCATCCAGTGTGACGTCCATAAGCCAAAATGATGTTGAGTTGAAAAATAGTCTTTAGCTCAAAGAAATGAAATAAGACCTCTGTAAACTATAAAGGTAATGGTATAAATGCCACTTCAGGAGGTGTACCATTAGTAACTTTCTTAAACAAATCTATAGATCAAACTAGTAATATAATTTTTGTCCGTCCGACCACAGCCTGACAACCATGGACAGCCGTTTCGTACTATTTGACAACTCCTCAGCACGGTGTAAGCTTGGTCTCAGGTAGACAATGAACGAAAGCTGAGCAACTATACTCTATCCATAGTAATAAGGTCTATCGAAGTAAGACAGCACAAAGTTCCATCTGTCACAAAAATCGACCACTGCGAATTCTTTTCATTATCGCAGTGGTCGACTCTGGTAACAGATGGCACTTTGTTCTATCTCATTTCGATAGATGTGAAGATGAGTTCATGTTCTCAATTGAGGATTAGCTTTATTTGCAATAGTTGACCATATTTAAATTGAAAATAAATGCGGATTTGTGTATAAAGTGAAAGAAAATGATCAGCAGGAAACTGTTTACAGTGGTGTGTGAATCTGATGCACAATACCTCAGTTTTCAGACGTTTTCCTACGTTGTGTACACAAGCCAACTCAAAAAAGTTCTTTGTAAATATTTCCTCCAATTCCGTAACATACTCAACGAAGCTCCGAAAAGACCCTATCGAGCCTCCATGGGTTGTTTTAGAAGTAAAACTACTCATTACATTTTTGTGATATCACGTTATTGATATTGGTACACTCATGAATCATAGATTAATTTTGGTTGGATCTCCCTCGACAATTACACCTCGACCTGAGCTCCTGTATGAAAAAAACGGATTCCAAATATGCTGGAATAGCAATACTTGCCTATAAATAATCATTGGCAAAATAACGAAACATCGGAACATGATTTCCCTCCTTCATTTAGCATCCATGTACGCAGCACCAACTTCTCATAGTGAATCGCCCTGTACAAATCTAACAGCCACTCTATCCACTTCCCAGGACTACTTGTGTAGTTATAGTGTAACGTACCAAAATCACGTAATCTATATTTATTGGTGTTGGTGTCTCTATAGGTTACGAGATTTTGGCAAGTTACAATAGTTTAGGACGTGCTTAGAAAAATATATGTTTTGTTTTTTCGCACAATCTCATTCAAAAAATATCCCTTTTAGAGATTCTGTATCTTGCCAGACCTAAAATTGCGTCAAAAATTGTTCACCTTTTTTATTAAGGTTGTGCAGAAAACCTAGTCAGAATATTTTTTCGACCAGATGCGAAGATACTTCCTGGACTATTACCTCAGGTAATCAATGGGTGATCGGCCACCGCGGCTGGAGTGGTTCTCCTAGCGGTAACTGTATTTTTTTGTCTAGGTGTACTTGCTACCATATTCGAATGTTCAAAGAGGCTGTCTGCTAAAGTATAGTTGTAACATTGTGATGAAACCCCTTGATTAAAATATGTATGATGGTTTACTAGACATTTGTTGTGTATGTAATAATATTATCAGTGTATTCGAGAATCCAACGTGGTGAGCAATCATTCCAGCAACTGTCAAAAAATGTGTTCGTAAATTCATCTTTGTGAATCAAGGTGCCTTCATATACTGCTCAAAAATTAATCCGATGCCTCACCATACTGTCAACCATTCCATCGTACATTTGGTAGTGATAGAATGGTAACCATTATGGTACATTGGCAAATTTGACAGACACGTAACCTAAAATGATCTGATTTCCGTTGAGAATTGGGAGCTGTGCTGATGTTTTTTGACTTTTAGCTGCCAGATGTGGCAAACAAATATGGAAGTATCTGTTGAAATTGAACTGCAACACTAATATAAATCTTTTAAAACGCACGTTCTACTGGAGCGATACATCCAGCTGGTAGAAGGTAAATGATTCATTCATCATTATCATTCATGATCATTACCAAGAGGATATCATAAATGTGTATGTATCTTGTAGACGATGCTACCTGATCCCAATTTGTGGAAGAGGTATATAACAAAAACTTTCAGAACTTGGGGCAGTTGGAGGCAAAAACGAAATTCATTTGGGACAAAAACTCCATAAAGTTCATGTTTGAAATGAGATTGATCCTTCACCACCATCAATCATGGATTTCGCAATCTGCAGAATGGATCAACTGGAAGAAAATTTACGTTGAATACCATCTACCAGAATAATATTTTCAAGTATCTACATGTTTGTAGAATATAGAATATATGAATATTTAACAAAGCTTTACTTGATTCCGTTCATTTCTAAGATCTGAAACTGATAGCTCGCAAACACAAAACTAGCAAGCTTGCCTCTTTTTCTACAGTTCAGCAGAAGCGCTAAAATTCCAAAATATATAGCTTACACTGGACGCCTAAGCCAAACGCTTGTGATGTCACCACAATCAAGAAACTGAATCTGCGAACACACAGTATGTCCTACTACTAACCTGCTGATGGACACTAGTTGAACAAAACAAGTAATTTTTACGCTCGCATAACTAGCTATTACATAATTAAGTTTTTATTTAGGAATTGCCAGAAATGGTTTCGCAGTAGTGGATGCAATTCCAGATAGCCTAACATCGATCGGCTTGCGATCGTCGTAAAGTGTAGGCGCCTGCAGAATGATTCCTGCTGTACCCACTAACACAGCCAATGTAAATATCCATAGGAATAGTCTGTCTAGTACCATCGCTACGTATTTCCAATCTTCCTTTACCTGTAATATTGAAATGCAATAAATTTTGAATCGAACTAATAGAAATATTGAAAAAAATCGACGGAAATAAGTCGACCTCATTTGCTAAATTCAAATAGACAAGGCAAAACCGGCAGCACCATTAAAAGTAATATTCTCATCATATTCTTCCCATAATCACCTTCTACACAGGCCCTAGAATGATTTTTTTGTGACTAAAAATCAGCTATCCGCTTAGATTATTATGTTTCGAGGATATCCAGCCAATTATGAGCATAAGAGTCATTCGTGAGTTCTTTTTAAAGCTGAACATTTTCAAACTAAAGGATTAACTTTGAGAAAGTTAAAAAAGAAAAATTACAAGTGAACATGAACAATCTTAGCAAAGCTCAAACATTCCTGCGTAAGGTTTAAATGCGATATCTAGGGGTGGGATTTTATTTTAAAACAGTAATACTCAATTTTCAGTTACAGGTTCATTATACTATAAGGAAATAACAGTAGCTACGCTTAAAGAAAAACACTTTTTGGATTTGTTTTGCTTCCCACACCTACTGGTGGAGGAAGCATTGTAATCGCCAACAATTTCTAAAATGAAATATGTTTTTTGGATGTTATTTGACATGTACATCATGAAAAACCATGTCACTCATTTTTGTCGGTCTGTCTGTCTGTTAATCCTTGGACCGTCTATAACTTGGAAAGTACTGCTCGGATTTAGATGAAATGTTCACACAACGTTACTACTATGCCAAGGATGGAACATTTTGATTGAGGGCTGGAGGATTGTATGGGGTGGGGAGGATGTATCTCAATTTTTCATTTTAGCATATTAATATACTACCAGCCCCGATAATTCTGCGCACCTATTAGACATATTTCACACCTTATACATTTGCCCGCACATTTGATCGTACATTTGCCCAAGATATTGCATCTTTGGTTCTCGATCCGAGAAACTTATAGAAGCAGGCGCAAGCGGCGCGACGACATGATTCCGTGACGTAAACATAGATGAAAAGTAAAGGACAATTGTGGGCACGTTCTTTATTGCGGACAAGACAAGTAGTTTCCGTGTTCCATCTACGTCATACAGTATACATATAGATATCTCAAGAGTTATTATAGTCAGTTAACTAACATTGTTAACAAGGGGTTTTACACCATAGCTCCAAAGAAATGAGGCTCCCGTGTACAAACATGCTCATTGCTGGAATCTGAGATATTTTTCCATGAAAAGCCCAAACAGTGAATTACTGCCTCTGACAAAACTTATTTGTTTTCTGAAGTCATTGCACTACATGGAAAATTGTATTAGAAGTATTAATTTCGGACGCGTGGGAAGTATCGAGTCAGTCTACTTGCAATCATTTTTCGTAACGACTTTCATGATAAGTTGAGGAGAAATAAGGACAAACTTGTCGCCGACGTGTAGACATTGAAAGAATTTAAAATTTATTTTTAGTGTTTGGATAAATACATAGGGTTTGTCAACTTTCGCGTGGTGTGCATGCTGGTTGTGATTCTGTTTCAACGACACCGCAATCACAGAATGCTTTCAAACTTAGTTTACGATAGGTTTCAACTTTAGTGCGTAATCCCACAAACCGTTGGGGGCTAGAAATTTTGAATGCAAGATTTCTGTGTACCCAATATTCCAAATAGATCTATATGAATGCATGAAATGCACTGAGTCAGTTAATTTGACTCCATTTTATTCATTACAACTTAAGTCAAATACGATGAGCGTTAAAAGGACCTTTTATGTTCTGAATCAGGAAAAATACGTATAAAAAATGTGAAAAACAATAACAAAGAGATGTCAGTGTCTAACGTGATGCTGAATTAAACCAACTCTGCTGGTGTTGAAATCTGGCATCTCCTTGTTATTGATTTTGGAATATTTTTGTTTTATATTTGCCAAAACAAGTGCCTTCAACCGTTAGGGTGTTGTTTTGTATTTCACAGTTGCCATTTTTTATTCTCCTGGCCGTTCGACCAAAGTCCGCGATGGCACTGCAGCCTCTAAGGCTTATTATACCTTGCTCCTCGAATTTATTTTACCCAATCCAGCAGTCTGGTGTTCCCTACCAGTTAGTACAATTTCCTGAATTACCTCAGTTCTAGTTTTGTTTTTTCGAAGAGTTGATATCTTTTGTGATCCCGCGGCTCGCACTCACATAAGACGTTCATAGCTGATTGTGTGCTTTTTCTGCATCGTTTGCAGCTTTGCATCATACAGCCCTATTTTTCGCAGGTTTTCTTTCAGGCCTTTCTGTCCCTGTTAGAAGCCCTGAAACTACACGGAGTTGGTTGATACACAATGAATTCAGTTCTCCAGTCTTGTTAGAACATTGACCCGAGATGAATTCTTTCCTATGCCTACATCTAGTCACTAATAGCCAATACTTCTTGTGCTGTTTTCTTACCCAGTATTTGCCATTTTTGGTACCTCCAACGCAGATTCTGAGCCTGTATAGGGTGTAGATGATCCTTTCCGTGAGAGCTCATCCACCATTTCCTTTCCGCGTTACGTGAATAATGTCCTGGCACCCACATCAAAGTTACTTTGTTGTGCTCCGCCCGTCTGTTCAGTTCTTGTTGACATTCCTAGCTCAGTGCATATGTCACTCTAGGACTTGCTAGCGCTATGAGTGACGCCTGACTAACATAGTATATGGCGATCCTTTTATTATTATACGCTCGCTCATTGTTCACTCTAGTGCAGTGAAAGATTGCCTACACTTCTGCCTGAAATACAGAGGTGTGTCTTCTAAGCGGTATTCTATGTCCAGGATTGCCACTGTTTCCATATATACCTGCACCTGTTCCCTGCTGAGTTTCTGACCCATCAGTGTACCAGGTAATTTCACCTTGGAGGTTGTGCCTTTGGTATTAGGTTCGATCTCTTATTTTGGTCTCGAAGTTGTTTGTGAATACAAATCACATGTTTCGTTATTTGATAATGTCCAAGGTCTTCAGATTGTATCTTTGGCTGCAACTGGAGCATACAGTAACCCATTCTTGCCTCCCCCTTATATGTAATATTCCTTCGGTGGGAGCTCTAGCTGCAGTTGGAGCGCTGTTCATTGCACCTAATATCGAGAGGCAAGCAAGTTTTTGTACCTGGCTTAATTCTGCAATGACAGAGCATTGTCTCATCTTTGATCACCACACCAGAGATGCATAATTTATCATGGATCTTACCAGCACTAGGTACGTCCAGTGCATCATGAAAGGGCTCAATCCCTATGTTTTGCCATGTCAATAGTAAGGTCTACCCTGCTCCCCTTTTAATGCGTTTGATCTGCAGGTTCCAGGCCAGTTTGGAGTCTAGTATTACCCCCAGATACTTGACTTCCGTCGACAGTTGTAACTGTTCTTCCGGATGGCATAGAGGCCTAGCCTACGCAATTGCTATTAAGGACAGGTAAAATAAATGGCGAAAAACGTCGGCTTATTGAGGAAGATACCTCATTGAAATTTTTTTCCGTTATTCCAATTATCCGAAGACTAAATACACTTTTTGATTGACAGAAAGGCGCGAGGGCAATATGTTAGCCCTGTTACCCGTCTTAAAGGTATCTAATTTTATAAAAGATTAAAGGGATTCTGTTCGCAGTGGGCTGTGTTTTACTACTATCAAAAGTGCCAAATACTGTATGAATGTTATTAGGTTGATGTCCAAATATGCAAAACAACAAACTCATAATGTGAATGAAATAGTAGTAAATCACGTAAGATTGCGCTGGTCAGGAGTGTAAACAGAATCATGCTGACAATGTTATTGTTACAATCACTCAGGCGTCGGCAGTGTATTTGAAGAGTTGCATATTTAGAGAAGAAACCCGTATCAACTACCTTTTTCATTTACTTTTGTCTAAGCTAGTAACTGATCTAAGTAAAAGCATATAACTAAAAACGTACCTGGAAGAACGTGGGTGAGACTGCAGAGGAGCAACCAAAGAATTACTGCCCTTAAGGTACATATTTTTAAAGTTTTATGTCACACGCTTCTGTCAGCTGAAGGGTGTTGACTAACCTTAAGCGTCTAGAAGATTAGTCTATATGAGCAAAAACAAAAAAGCGAAAGGTTCTGATGGCTCTCCACGAGAAAAACTTTTAGGGCCTACAAAATACAGTACGAGGAGATCCATCGATCCATCTCTAGCAGCATTAAAGAAAAATAATAAGAAACTAAAGGCAAACATTGTTCAAAACAGTAAATTACTACTAGAAAACAAGAAATAATCTATTCACAAAAGAAAATAAAGAATTACTGGACTGCAACAAGCTTTATGAATCGAATATACTAGAAAGAGAGAGTTTAGTAGAAATTATGGGAAAACTCACAGAAAGACTAGAAAAATCAGAAAACCGACAAACAACTATGTCATATGCGGCAGCAACCAGCGCGCAGCCAAACACACCCATAAAAACTCTGAAGAAGCTAATCATAAAAGCCAAAGACAGACAGAACAACATTGAAACAAAACATGAACTAAACAAGCATATTGACTTATCCAAATTACAAATAAAAATAACAGGAGTATATAATATCAAACATGGGGGCGTAGAAGTTAGATTACAATAAGAAGACATGAAAAGAATAAAATATGAGATGCAAGACTGTCTACCGTCCAAATATGAAATTTTTGAAGAAGAAATGACGAAACATAAAATCAAAATCGTCGGGTACAATGCCCAAGCAAAGCCATCAGTATAAGAAATAGAAGATAAATAGTTAAAATAAGTTTCTACATTAGCGGAAACGAAATTAATGTTATATGCGTTAATGATATTCAATCAAGAACTTCTTATACAATTTTCCCGGAAGTAACAGGGAATTTATTCATGTTTTATACTCGATTATACTTTTTTATACGTTTTATTCAAGATTCAGAATTTACACGACGTTTCCTTATAATCTATAAAGCTGGACTGTCCTTGTTGCTATCAGCGCCACATAGCACAACCGTCACATGTCAAATCACAGAGCACAGACACTTAAAGAATACAAA